TACACAAAGCCTGCAGACGGGTGCACTCAGTGTAGAAAGTAGAAATGGTAAAGAGGAATCCACTGGATTAAATGTCTTTGCAGCTTGTTTAACGTGTGAGCAGCGTCTCTTCCATGTTGGGCACAACGACGCGCGTGGTGCGCTGGCACCAGCCGCGCTCAGGCCGAACTGTCCTGCTGGGACTGTGCAGGAGGAGGCTGAGTTACTGTCTCAGCTGGCCTCTTAGGTTGTTTTGAAACAGCAAAAACTCTCACAGTGAAACGCAGTAACTCTGCCAGAGCATCCTGACTTTCAATTCATTGGTTTTTAGCAAATTTCAGGTTGACTGGGAAGCCTCTTGAAATGACAACTTGTCTGGTGTATATATATGTATAGTAAATAATGCTGGATGTCAGAGAGCTACATGCTGATGGATTAATGAAATGGAGATACCTGGAAAGAGCAGTTTGTAATGCTGTGTAAGGTGTGTGGGGGCTCTTGGAGAGGTCTTCCAGGAGGTGAACATAACAGGGCCAAACAAGGGCGTGCACTGCAGGACACACTGACTGGCTGTAGGGCAAGTTAAAGACTGAGACAGAATTTCAGGAGCCTCTTGTAAAAATTGCTTTCTCATTGGAATAAAGGAGAAACATAACTAAACGATGGTGCTGTGAATTACAGGGAGAGTCTGTGATCCTTTGTTCAGTCTGCATCCTAATGCTCACCTGAAAATTTGGAACTACTTGTTGTCCTTTGTATATGTTCATGTTTGGTTTGTACATATGAATGACGTTCAGTCAGTGCTGTAACACCCAAGTTGCAGAAACTTCAGTAAATGTTACCAAAAATTATCTTAGACTGTGTGAATTAAGCTGTCTTCTGTGAAGATCACCATACAGCCTGGGAAACAAGTCCTCTGTATCCATTGATGTATTTTACTGATTTGGGCATATTTTAACATCAAAAGCTCTGTTACCAAACACCCTCATTAGGAACGATGAGCAGGATTTCAACATGAGAAAGAATCAAACCTGATCACTGGTAACGTGTTTTTTAATTGTCAGAAGCAAGTTAACTCCTTATGCTGCTCTTCCAGCTGTTATTTAATTTGAAACAATGTCCAATAAACTGTCCCTCACCAACTGAGAAATCTGGAGTGTTCTTTTCCCTGTTTCTTCCTCAACAGGTATTGAAACCTCTGTCTCTTGGTGGATTGGCAGGTGCGGGTAAGTAAAATTGCCATTTAAGTGCATGGGCTAATCATGATTCACTATATATTTGTGTTGAACTTTTCCTAATAGGAGCTCCATTATTTTAAATTTAATTTTAATTAAATTTAAATTTAGTTGCTGTGTGGTACAGCAATATCAGAAGGCAAAGAGAAATGTTCCTCAGTGTAAACATCATGTCAGCAAAATCCAGTGGGCTCTATGCATACAGCGTGGGTTTTTTTGAGGCTTAACGTCATCAGAATATATTTAATATGCACTAATGATTGTGTTTAGGCATTTACTAGGTGTAAAATAAAAAGCCATGGAGAAGTTCAATTATAAATATTTTATTTAAGAATATTGATTACACGAGATGTCATTTGTTATGAATCTGTGTAGTTACTAGTTACACCATGAAGTGTAGTTAAAGATTTGTTTAAACATTTATTTGGCACTGTCCACAGTATGCTGTAAACAATATTAACTTCATATGCTTCAGCTGCAGTGCTTTCTATGTATTCTCTAACATGATTTCATCAACATGTTGGTACACAATTATACAGTTACTGAGTGTCAGTAAAAATTATAAAAACACCTAGAGTATTCATAATAAAAGTGAAGATGTGTTAAGACTTCAAATTACTGGACCTTTGCTTCTGTAAAAGTACAAGACTTGCTAGAGACGTTTACTAAAACTACTGCACTGATATGTCGAACAAACTAATTCCCAAGATGCTGTCAAATCCAGTTCTTGGTTTGACTTCCCTCTTGCTGATCACGTGCTTACGAGGACAGCGATAACAGTGAGGTTGGGTTGAACACCAGTTCACCAGTCCTTCCTTCCCCCAGATTTCTACAACCTCTTGTTCAAAAACCTGCTCCGCTTCTGAGCAGCTGGCACCAGAATTCTGGTTTCTGCAAAGAGGTTTACAGAAATCCCATTATTTTTAAGCTAGCAGCCTTGAGCATAGTAGAGTTCCCCAGTATCACACTTAAAAATAAAATGGGAAAACATGATTAACACTTCTCAAAGCAGGTAAGAAACCTTTCACATTTTGGTAGCTGTATTAAACATGTAACTCTTAACTGCTCTGTTATTGGGTACTTAAAAATTGTGCTCAGATCCTCATAGGGCAACTGTAAACTCCACTGTGGTCCCTGTTTTCTGGTGCACAATGGAAAGTTAAACTTGGTAAGCAAAATCCAGATGCTTGCTAGCCAAGAAAAAGAAAAGGCACCAGGCCTAGTTCAAGTCAGGCTGAAGCAAACAGCAAAGAGTACACAGCAAAGAGACATCCAGAACAGTTCTCTGAAGAGAAACAATGAATGAACTGTTGACACTTTGATGCTGTGGCTTTCTAAAAGATCTCCGAAGTTATCAATGGCTTAGAATTAACTATTAGAACAAAAACAGAATTATTTTGCATTATAAATGTGCAATTAGGACTCGGCCTTCACTGTAGTGGCTCTGATGTCAGGTAATGGCTAAGGTCAAGCAATTCTGCTGTAGTTTTACAATACACAAGTGTTCATGTAGAACTTGTAATAGATAAATTAATGGCTAACGGTAATCTCACATCACTCTAGATTGCCGACATGTGGAAAGAATTTGCTTCACGTGATTCTCTAAGCTTTGTCACATTATGTACTTCAGGGTATAGTTTTCTCTGTACAAGTCTGAGTGTAAGAGAAGTCAAAAGTTTTAAAATCCAGGGTGAGGAAAAAAAGTACAAGTACTTGAGTTCCGCTTACAGCGCTGCCCACGCGGCTGAGCGCATTCGTGCCTCTGCCGCACTACGGGTAGGCTGGGCAGAGAGTAGCTGATAGAGTCCTGATGCCGTTGGTGTGGCAGATGCCGGCATTCAGGGGAATAAAGCTGGAAATTATTGTGTAAAATACTGTAGTTGGCAGTGGTGGAAAGCAGAGCTTTCCCTCAAACACCTATTCGATTCCAGCTACTACTAGCGAATGGCACTTTCTGTATGGCAGGCGTGTGGCTCTCGGTGTCACACCATACAACAGTAAATCTGCTGGGACTACCTGGGAACACGGGCTGTTCCAGGTCATGTTTAGACAATCAGATAGTCAGGGCCATGAATGTAGCGAGGACTCTGCAATCAGTATGACCCAAGCCAGAAGATGGAGGGTCACAGCTTCTACAGATGCACAGTGTGGGACAGCTGCACATACCTGCTGGTGACCAGTACCAATGCTCTGCCTGTGTCGAGTTTGCATGGAGCAGCTTGCCTTGGGCAGGACTACAGACAGAACACAAACCTTGGTTTATGACTTTACACTTGTAAGTAGAGAAGACATGAATTAATGCAAACTAATTTCATAATCAGCTGTTCAGTGCAAGGGAACTGCTTTTTACTTGAAGTTTGCTAAGATGTCACTGAAAATGTTCAGGAAGAGGTGTGCATGATGATCCTTGAAGATCAGTGTTGGACGAAAACGAATTGATCTGTCGCCACAGCCTCCCAGCACAACACCTAAAATGAGAATAGAATACGTCAGCTGGTTATTTCCAGCTTTGCCAAATACCCAGACAATGCAGGTCTGCAAATGAAGTTCATCTCACTGTGGAGGGCCAACAGAAGCTCCCCAAACCACTGCTAACCACACAGTGATACAGCACGTACTCAGTGGTGCAAAAGGACCTCGAGCTTCACAGCAACTCGGAAGAACACTGGGGGTGTCTGTAGCTGTTCTGTAAAACACTTGGAATGTTGGGACTAATTCCAACATCAGTGGAAAAACTCCATCCAGCACAGAGCTCAAACAGCAAGAAGTTAAAATACCTCAGTGCTGGCAAACATCTTCCTGCAGTACTTCAAATACATGGTAGTTGTTTTACTACAAAATCAGTCCATTCTTTGAAAGGTTTGTGGGCAAAAAAAATCCAAACCATCGAGCTGAGCTTACCCTGCCTCTAAGCAGAGCCTTGGTTTACCATGAAACAAACTGCCTGCCTTCTCTCCCTGCTGGCTTAGTTACCAAGAACCAAACATACCGATGGCTTTTACACTCTAAAAATTTGGTTTCACGGTTGTTTAGACACATCGTGCCTGCTTTCAAGAGATGGGAGCAACAGCAAAAACTGACAGCAGCAAACCCAGGCCCCCACACAGTTAAATTCAAAGAGAATGTTGGGCTTCAGAGCATGAGGTTCCCCTCCTGATACCTGGGCTTGTCTATAGCTGAGTAAGAGTTCTGTGCTAAGAGGGATTTAGTTGTAGATGTGTGCCCATTTTAGGCAACTCATTATACTTCATTATTAGGTATTCTATAAAATTCATAGTTTTTCTCCCTGTGTTTTCCCAAGTAACAGTTTTGTTAACTTTCTTCTAGTTTTCCTGATCTGTTTCTAGAAGTAAGCCATGCCTAGGTGCACCTGAGGCCACAGCAGAGGAACACGAAAGCGATGTCACAAAAACTCATGCCCTACATAGGTCTATTCCAATAACACCAGACCTAGAGAGAAAGGTAAATGTACACACCCTGCAATGGACTGGTCTGTTGTCTCTGAAAATACAACTTGCCAGAAAAGTCTAAATTCAGCTTTGTTCATAATTTCACTTCTGTCTCTAATACTGTAGTACACATACACGACAGGAAGAAGGAAGATGTAAAGCATTACATATGCTGCTGTTTGTCATTGAAGCTAACCCACACACAAACGTTCTTACCTTTGTTTCTGGCTATTGTAAT